GCGGTTTTACTAATGGACTTAATACGCCTTGGGTATTAAGCCGTCTTAGGCTAATGCTTAGATTTGGATTTGGTTTCGCTCTACTCTAGGTTGACTAGAATTGGTTTAGAAATGACGGTTACCCGAGTCGGACAAACAACGGGGTGAAGTCTAATAAACGACGTTGGATGACCACAAGCCAACTATTCGTTTATCACTTCCAAAGAATTCAACTTGTGTTTTTTCTGAAGGACAGCCGTGGTAAGCCACGTAACTGCCTTTTTTCCTAATGCAAACTATTTGCCGTTTGGCGGAATCGGGTGCCATGAATGCAACAGTTAATATAAAATACGATAATTTAAACACATAAACAATTTAAACACATAGCCAAATAAACTAATCTTAAGGTTAGAACCATTCAAATCCCCAGCGGAAGTCGCCATTCTATTTTATTAAAAAATATATTTTGGACTAGTTTAGAGTCGCCACTTAATTTTTTAAGAAAAATCAAGAAAACTATTTTTTCAACAGATTAAAACAGGGAATCAATTGAAAATATAAGGGAGTTCGGGGGTTCATATTAGTGTTCTAGGAAGGGTTTTAAAGCACCTAGAACACCCGCTAATGCGGTTATCCGACAATTAATTATTTGGCTAAATAATTTTAACTTAACTCGATTTGCAAAATTGAACCATTTTATGGTTGAAACTATTTAAAAGGGGAGAAGGGGAAATATTTAAACTTTATCTAAGTGAGTTATCTCGCAAAATTTATTTCTTTAAGTCTTGTTGAGAGTTGACTGATTTTGTTAAATTGTTAAATCAAAATAGGCGTCTTCCGGGGATTTGAATTTTTCGACCTTAAGATTAGTGACAAATATTAACAAGCACACAAACACAATAAAATAGAAAAGGGAAAGAGACTCGGGCCCAAGTTTGGTTTTTCTGTCCGCCTGGACCAACACTTGGGCCTAATTTTGTTTTGGGCCAAAAGGCCCAATTTTCGCCACCTGTCCTAGACTAACACAAAGTAATCATTCTCTCTTTTGGGCCTTAGACCCAATTTTCCACCTGTCCTAAAAAACTAATAAAGTAATAGCAAAATTTAATGACAAGGGCTTAGACCCAAAATAACAAAATACAAAAATGAAAGATGGGCGTTTGACCCAATCTTTCCAAATTTTTGATATGTTGCATATTCTTTCAAGCTCCGAGACCTGTTCGTCAGTTTCAAAGATGGTTGACTCGGAAAGAAGGAACTTAAGCCTTTACGGCTCTCTCGAAATGCAAGGAAAAAAGAACTCGTGGCGAACTCGGACAGATTTACATGCAAAACCAAAAGGGAATGAAAATTAGTATATTAGAAGGGAATGGAGAAAGAGACGGTCATATTTTATACCAGAGTAAACTAAGAAATCACTTCCATGACATATTCGGAAAAAAAAAAAAAAAAAAGATTTATGACAAATATGCCTTTAACACATAAAACAAAAGGGAAACTTTCAGTTCAAAGGAAATTAGAAAATAGAAAAGCATGTCAAGTGTACTAATGGAAGAACAATAATATGAGGTCATTTTTAGCATAACAAACATATTTTGGCCATGACCTGAGTTAAGCTACAGGCAAGTGAAAATAAATCACATAACTCCCCAAGGGACCCACAAATGACTAGCTAATAAGAAAAGATAATCACACTTAAGGAAATCATCAAATTTATTTATCGGAAGACATACTAAAGGGAATGATATGCTACTGTTCCAAAATTACAAAATTACTCTTTTCATAAAAAAACAAATACTACAACTACTCTTTTGGAGATTTAACACATCAACAACTATTCTTCTCGAAGAATATGTAACTCTAGATATGATATTAAATCATGATCGAATATTCTATCACTTCTGGAACACAGTCTTAATCACTATCGCATTGAGTCAATTTTCAAAAATGGGAAGAGGTTGCATTCATATCCAAGTAAATAAAGAAACGCTATCACTAGTAACGGTTACAGAGGCAAACTGGACCAAAGAAGAAAATTGAGCTAAATGAATAATTATACATTCATACTTCAAATATTCGCAAGCTATTGAAACACTAAAACAGTAAGAAGCACCTATGCTAGGCTTAATAGGAGTGCAGACGACTAAATAATATAAACCAAGACTTAAAACTCACATAGATAAATTATTATTTTTTACTGCACTAGCTAAAATTCGTTCGAGAGCAATCACATTAAAGCTAAATCCATCACGGATCTGAAACAAATATCACTACAACCAGACCCACATTAACGAATCTCCGCTGAAACCGAACAGAGTCAGTTTCAATGAACAAACTTACATAGAACATGACCCGATTTTACAAAGAAAGGCTCATAAGAGCAGATGAAGCGATTTAGAGGCTAGGTTATCGAGGTTGAAAAACATGAGACATTCAAAATCGTAAAAAGACACAGGACACACAAAGCAGAACAGTAAGCTACTCAAACATAACACTAAAAATTTGATAATAGAGTAGAGAAGCAGCTATGTCCAGAAATAGCAATGTAAAGAAGTTGATCCACACATTTTATCAATGCAAAAAGGTATGCTAATATACATTGGAAAATCTGGTTTAACGAGCTTGAGCATGTATGAAAACTATGAATCACTTTCAATTAATGACATGAGGCGAAGGACTGAGCTCTTTTCTATCTTCAAATTGAAGCAAACAAGTGTAGACATCATTCATGACCTTAAAAATTTGACAAAATAGCAGCAGAGAGATGACATACGATCAGCAACATGATCAAAATCGCAAACTTCGAGAATCAAAAATATGAGGTGAAGAGGAATTTAATAAAGGGAAAGAGATTACCTTTTCCGGGCAGCGAACCGAAGACAAACGAGCTGAGCGAGATTCCACCACCGAACTGAGATTCCGATGGATTCGGGTGAATGAACGAGAACGTGAACTAATATCGAAACTATCTCTTCTTGTTGTTTCAATCGTGCTCCTTATGTGTTCTCTGTAGCTATTTTCCTCTTTGTAATGACTCTCCTTTTTTTTCTAACTTAGTTCAAAAGAATCAAAATTTAACTCCCATGAGAGATCCCCCTTAACAGTGAATATTATGCAACATATATAGAAGGAAAATTAGGGTTCTCCAAAAAATGGGGGGAAACGGATGGAAATTTTGGACAAAATAGGGTCCATCCCTTTGAATTTCGAATCCTTTCACCATTTAGGGGAGACATCCTTTTTCTGAAGATTTCACCCCATTCCGGAAGAGGAATGGGGGCAGACGCGTGCTTGCTTGCTGCTGGAAACGTACAATTTGAGAGGGACGTGAATAAGGAGACAAAAAATTGCAGTGTACGTTGGACTGCTGTACTGTTTCTCGCTGCTGCTTGTTCGCGTCTGGGCCTGCTGAACGCTGCTGGAGAAGAAGAACAGTGCAAGGGTCGGTTTTGTGTATGTTGTTGTTAATATATTATTTTAGTATTGTTGGTGTTGGAACGTATTGGGTCTCATTTTAGTGGGCTGCTGTTATTGAATTGGAAAGTAATGTTAGCTGATAGGATATTGAATTGAGGGAATTATGTTGGTTTCTTTAGTATTGGGTTGACTGAAGGGGATAAATAAAATACAAAAGGCCCAACATTTGGTCTTTTTTAAGTTGGACGTATGAATTGGATTTAAGTTTTTGACCATATAGGTCTAAACCATAGCCAATTTGGAATTAAGGATATAGCCAATCTTGGTTAATTAAGATAGATTCGGCTAAAAGTCAAATAAGATGAGTTAGTGTAATTAATTTACGAGCTTCTTATTCTTAACGAAATAAAATAGTTAACTTGATAATAACATAATTAATTTAAACATGAACTAATTAATGCAAAATCGTAATTATGATTTAAATTAAACTAAGTTAGTACAACACTTAGCTAAAAAGAAATAAAAATCTTTTGATATGATTTTTAGATATTTATAAAATATACTAATTAGACACATAATTATATAATAATTAACTTAATTATAAACTAATTAACTTGAAATATAAGTTACTAATTAACTTAAACCAGATAGCCAAATATTTAAACAAAACTAAATCGTTTTGAGACAATTTTCGAATATTCATAAAGATACTGATTGTATGCAAAATCATATAGAAGACATATTATAATTTAAGATCATAAAAAGTGACAGATTATTTAAGATAACTTGCAAACTATATATATTTTTTTATATTTTTTTTTTTTTTCAAGATTTCTAAAATTAATTATCTTAAATCGTTTGAAAATTAAGAAGTTCGGAAATTAATTATATCGGGGAAGGTCAAAATTGGGTGTCAACATGTTGTATAATCAAGACTACTTGAAAAGTGAGTTCTATTACCATCTTAATTAAATTTTAAGAAATATTAGAGCAAATAATGAAAAGAGGAAGTGATTGTACTCTACAAGATGTGTGAGTAACTTTGAAGCAATAATAGCCTTTCCAACAGACCTTGAACAACCACTTTTGTCTTTCTTTGCTTCAACTCTAGCTCATCATAGAAGATCTTTTTTTTTTCTTTGTAATTTTGTAAGCGAATGAAAATTATCATGTGTTAGACTTTCTCGCTCAAAGATCGAAATAGATGCCATATAAAATTAATGTAACATTAACAAACTTCACAACAACATTTTTAATGAAAATACAATTAAGTCTCACCTTCGACTATACATTTTTCGCATAATCAAGTAAGGTTAAATTATACCAGTAAAACAAACATGTGCATACCAACTTATTTTCAACTTAAAGACGACACACATGTACATTATAAATGTTTTCAACCATATGACGTGTCATATTACTCCACCCATGCTAACAACACGGGCCCAACGTATAATTTATTATGGACCTAAAATTAATGAGTTGCGTATTAAACAAACAAAATAAAATATATTTCAATGAAAAAAATTACTAATTTAAACATATTATAGCTGCCAAATATGTTCATTATATATTGATGTGAATATCATACTACTGAATGTTAAAGTGAGATACTTACATAGTCTAACATTTCCATATGTGGGAGTGCTAATTACATACATTTACATACTATTTTAAATTGACAAGAACAGATGCATCTTTCATGCTTGGATATTCTGAAACATCTTTGATTAAAATCACCTGTTACATTAAAATTGAGGGATTAAATATCAGTATTTCAGTAATTATATAGAGTCAAGGTTGAAGGTGAAAAAGTAATGAATAATTAAAAATCATGTTCAATTATGACAAAAATCACAATTATTTTATATGTTCATCAAATGTTTACCTACATTGCAACAAACAACCAAGAAAAAACACCAGCCTCATACGTTTTTGTCGAGAACTCTCTCTACAAAAATTTACTTATCATAAAAGAGTTATAATTTCAAGCTAAATATATTTAAAGAAATTAACTACTAAAGGAGAATTCTATAAACAACAACATTGATAAAAAATATTTTTTAAAAAGGGAGTGAAACAAACAATTTACAAAGCCAGAGAAGACAAATTATGTCCACTCCTCTTGGCCAAATTCCAATCGAACTTGAGTTTATCCAAACCTCAATCATCTTATACAAAACGTCTAAATTAAAGGGCTGCATTGATATGCCTCTATATATGGTTAGTTGGTCATTGGATAAAGACAAGAATATTTCACAGTCTAACACCAATTGTTTTGTGGATAACATATACATGGGATAACTTTTCCCAAGAATACCGATTTTGATGTATTTTCCCAGAGAATTAGCTTTAAATTAATCACAGAAGTTATACAGCACAGAATCACAGGAAATGTGACAACATCAATCTTCAACTAAGCCTCGTTAATAACAATAAGAATAGAAGCATCTTCTTCATACAAATAAAACACTACCATAGAAGAATGAATTAATTCTAAAGCATGATGAGAAGTAGTAAGAAAACAACAAAGCCAAATGTTTAGAACTTAAAGCATGAATTACAAATGCATTAAATGAGATCCAAGTTAAAGATTAATATTGGAGTAAAAGATTGCGAAACACACTTAATAAAGCAAAGTGACAATATGACCAACCAAACTTGAACAAAGCTCAATAGCCTACAAAATGACACAACTCATCCAAGATTTTAACCCATATAAACGAAGAAAATCTTGGTAAGCCATAAGACGCAACTCAAACTATATTATATATAAGATTAAAGGAAATTTAATATGTTCTACATATTTTTAGTTTAAGACCACAAAATTTAAAAGTGTTTGCTATTTTTTAAAACTCCGTATCCAGTTAAAACAAACAAATAATTTGAGACGGATGGAGTACGGAGTATGACAGTGAGAAAGATTAGAAATAAAATAAACTGTATTTTTTTACATTTTCACAGTACAAAGGAAGCATCATTCTTCCACCGATATTTATCAGGCAAGTCATTCTTTCTCCTCCTTCTCATAGTACAACAAAATCCTTGGAAGTAAGTAATTTACCAAACTAACCATCCTTCAATACTATGAAAAAATAACGCAAACACCAATAATACCAAACAGAATTCATGTGAATTGAAGTACCATTGCACTTAGCCGCAACTAAGTCATTATTCTTATCAGTGCATGACTTATCTCATATTATTTCATCCAGGCCACCAACCAAATATGCTCCAACGTCATTTTGCATTCCACACTTAGTTACTGTAGTTCAATTTGAACATTTTGTTACAGTCTACTACTTATAAAGTATCTACTACTTAAATCCATAAGAATCTTTATACTGCTGTAGCCAGTAGCCTGTACTATCTTTATTTTTTTTATTCGAACTCGTTCTTGCCACACAATATAGTGGGAACTTCTCTCCACTATATTGGGATCCCATTTTCTTTACTTAAAAAAGTGTATAAAATGATTGTCTGTATGGAAAATACTTTTCTTCTGCTATGTATATTTCTATGCTATTTGATAAGGAATTCACGAGAAATTAAAAATGCTAAAAATGAAAGGCTGATTTAAAAAGTATTGCAGAAGAGAATATGGAATGAAAATAGTAACAAACAACATATAGTTTTTTTTCCATTTAAGTTCAATAATTGATAAATAGCAAACAAAAATTAATGTGCAATTCATGTACTGGCCTTATAGTTGCCAAGCAGTTGTGCTTTCTTTGATTTGATTGTGGGCATAACTATATTTGTTACAATGTTAAAACCATTTGACTCCTTACTAACTGTGTGCCACATTTCAACACCACGAAGTCAAAAAAATATTGTGACATTTCAGTTCTTACGGCTAGGCTGAAAGGCGTAATCGAAGGACAACATATGAATATTCCTATACTACTCCAGATAAGAAAAGAAACTTGGCAAAAAGAATGGAGAAAACTAAAATTGGTAATATACACTCTTGATTTTTGCATACAGGACGGTTGAGTTCATCCGAAATGTACTTTTCTTCATGTTAACATAATTTTTTTGTGCCTCTTCAAAATTAAATAAGAAGATTCACGGAAGTTTAGGATTAGATTCTCTTTTAATCCTCTTAAATTTTTATCTCATATTCTCAAACCTCATATTACTATTTTGAGCTTCTTCGATTTAGAGTGTAGTGTAGATTTGGTGACTGAACAAGACCTGTACAGCCTTCTGTTAAATTACTACTCAAGTCTAATCCTCATTATGTACCATGCATGTTCTCCTTTCTCTTCTTATATTTTACTCGAAAATTCTTCTTATTTCCTCTTAGTTAAATTGATCGAGCCTAACGTTATCCAAGAACTTGAAAATGAATCATTCATTGATGAAGAGTACAGAAAATAAAATAGAAGAAGTGACTCTGACTACTCCACTCCTAATAACATTTAGGCACAATTTTCAATTCTTTTGGAACTATCATGGACAACTATAGTGTTCTAAGGGATATTCTTTTATCTTTCTGATCAACAACTCATTTTGGATTCATAGTTCTTTAAGAGTATAATAGCAGAATTGATAACCCCATGATATATAGGAGGCACAGTCATCTTATACGAAATTTCAAGCGAAGGAGGCTACAAACAGAAATAAAGAAGACATATTTGCCTGCTACATTGTAGTACACAAGAAAATCATGTCCTAACTTATGAACAACTTACGGAATATGAAAAAAGGAACCTCTGTACCAACTGTTTCACTTCCCTGTTCCCCCGAAGAATTTTTTTATTAATTATCTGGGGAAAAAGTTACAGTGCGGTGTTCACTATACCAGGAAAGGAAAAAACGCTTACAAATGTAAAAAGAATGTTTGTTTTGTCTAAATATAGAAAAGAATCAGTTCTTGGTGATCTTAAATAGCTATAAGCACACACTTTGATTCTAATTCCACTTTTCTGGGAAAAGGTTTTTGGTTAATTTTTTGTAAGACATCTATAATTATCTACACAATAAACATTTCCAATGACAGATTTTGCAGCTGATCTAAGAGCTCATAGTATCTTCTCTTTCTAAATAACTTAGATTACACCAGAACGTAAAACCACATAAAGCTTAACAAGGGACTGCTGAAGATTAATATCTAAGATTCAACTTACCAAAAAAGAGTCAGCAATAGCTAACAACTATAAGGTGATTCGCTCAACTATGGACCTTCACCATATGCAACGCATAAACGTAAATTAAATTAATATAAAGCACTAAAGTTATATATAACAATAATAGTAAAGCCTCATGAACTTCCATATAGAATTGGAGTAATATGAAGGGGAGACCGATATGCCAGAATCCATTGCAGATGAAGGGTTATTTAAAGGTATGAGTGGAAATTTCTAGACAGAAGATATTTAGTAATTGTGTTTGATATTTAGCCATGTGGAGGGGATTTAATGGACAAGTAAAATAATATATTTATTTTATACATAAAGTAAATTAAATATCAAGCAGAATAACAATTGTATCTTTTTATGCATATAATAAAATGACAATTCAATATTACAGGAGCACCGTCTTATTAGGTTTAGTTTTTTTTTATTTTTTTATTATTATTATTAATATTATTTATTATTATTTTTCATTGAGATCTTGAGATTCATCATCACACAAAATGAATGAAATATACCAGAGATTAAAATTTAGTTCATCAGAATGAAAATCATAAAAGAGGGAACAAATACCATATCAAGAAGATGAGCAAGTCTCCATTGGTCCAATGATGAAGCAAGAAGTTTGTTGATTATAAAATTGTGCTGATTTAAGATCTGAAATGAATAACAACTTTAAGTTCCAATAAAGAAGAAGAAATTGAAAATCTTATTTCTGGAATTTGATGAAATTGGAAAAACGGAAAGCAACAGATAAAGTTGTACACTATGCAATTTGGTCTTCTCTTCTCGTCTTCTTTTTGTTTGTGTGTGTTAAAAGAAAGGGATAATACATATATTTGACCTTAAACTTGGCTTCAAATTTTAACTTTGACCTCCAATTTTCATAGTGCACAAACAAGCACTTTAACTATCCAATCTTTTAATAAATAAACACGCGATTTTTGGAGCCAAGAGCGTGAAATGCAAACGCTGCCACGTGTATTAGCGAGCCACTCAATGGCTGCCAACTAATTAAACACTTTACACGTCCATTTTAGAACTAAAAAATAAAATTAAATTAATTAAGGGTAAAGTTGTCATTTCAGCATTTTTTTCACTGTTGTGTGCCTCAAAAATTACTTCTCACTCGCGCAAAATGCATGCACATCACGCGTTTTGCCAGGTAAGACACGCGTGTTTATTTATTAAAAGGTTGGATAGTTAAAAGTGTCTATTTGTGCACTTTGAAAGTTGGAGGTCAAAGTTAAAATTTGAAGCCAAGTTTAAGGTCCAATATATGTATTATGCCTAAAAGAAAAGCATACAACAGAAAATAAAGGAAGAAAAAAAAACTCACTCTACTTCTAGGAAGATGAAGACTCTTTGATTTCAAGAAGATAAAGCTCAGACTCTTCGATTTCAAGAAGATGAAGCTGCGACTCTTCAATTTTTTTTTCTTCATAAAGATGCAAGCTGTGCAATTTGGGTCTTCTCTTTAATTTCAAGAAGATGAAATTGTGCAATTTAGGTCTTCTCTTCGATGATTTTAAGAAGATGAACCTATACTTTGGGTTTCTTTCGGATTGAGCCCTCAAATTAATTTTCTCACACTCAGCCGCTTCCCTCCTTCTCTCTCTCTTTCTGCAAACCACCATACTATAAGCATTCTCTCTCAACAGAAAAATCAACTTAAAGCGTATGTTCATCTTCTCTTCGATGATTTTAAGAAGATGAAGCTATACTTTGGTTTCTTTCGGATGATTTTAGGAAGAAGAAAATGAAGTCATGCATTAGGTCTTCTCTTTCTATACTGTTCCTCTTTCCTTTATATTTTTTTATATTTTTAAATTGAAAATTGGAAGATGCTTCTACACTTTGTTATAGTTGTTTACTATTTTGCCCTTCAATCATATCAAATTTTTCAGAATTGCCAGTGGTCGTCCGATCGTCATCATGCTAATATGACTTTTTCTTCTTCGAGTGAATTGAAAAAATAGTATTTAAAGGGGGCTTAGCTTGCCTTATTTCATCACACAAACACAAACACAATTATATTAATTTATTTTCCATAATGGCTTTTCCTTTAGTACTCTCTCTCTCTATATTTATCATCTTTCTATGTTACAAACTCTACAACCGGCTCACGGCCAAGCTGCCTCCGGGTCCTTGGCCGTGGCCGGTCATTGGAAACCTCTTCAACATAACGCCAATGAGGTTCCGATGCTTTGCTGAATGGGCCCAAATTTATGGGCCAATTTTTTCTTTTTACCTTGGGTCACAACTAAACGTGGTGGTGAATAATGCGGAACTTGCTAAAGAAGTTCTTAAAGATAATGATCAAAATTTGGCCAATAGGTTTAGAACAAAACCTCTTGATAGTGTGAGTAAAAATGGGATGGATTTGATATGGGCTGATTATGGACCTCATTATGTGAAAGTAAGAAAGCTTTGTAATCTTGAACTTTTTACTCAAAAGAGACTTGAAGCTCTTAGGCCAATTAGAGAAGTTGAAGTTACTGCCATGGTTGAAAATATTTTCAAGGACACCACTAAGCCTGGTATGTTAATTTTATTTAGCATGTACACCGCTATTTAATATGTATCCATTTAATTTTTATTTTTTTTGCATGTTTACTTACTTCAGAATAA